AACCTCGGTTTTTGACCACATGGGGGCAATTTTGACTTTTTGGGTAAAACTTTAGAAAACTCATTTTCATGCGTTGGGGTTGATTCATTTAGCACTTATTGATGTAATTAAGTAATTTGTGATTAGATACGAGCGAATTGGCGGTGGAATCAAGGGGTAAAGCTATAATTGAGACTTTAGTTAGCCGTGGAAGTTCGAGGTAAGTGTTTGGTCTAACCTTAGCTCGAGGGACTAGGAGTTGAGTCCTATTTGCTATGTAGTAATTGTTGAGTACGACGTATAGGCATGGTGACGAGTATCTACACGTTGGTGTCTAGCATGACCGTGAGTCCTTAAATGGTGTATATCTTGACTTCGTAGTATCTTTCATGCCTTGGTGATGATTTATATTTGTTGTGAAAATCTTGTGGAAGGAAATTGTGACCTTTGAACATCGAGGAGCATTGGCTCAAGTTATATTACAAATTGTGAAAGTATATGAGATGATTGAACCCTTTGGAGCACTGGCTCAAGTGGTAAAGTGAGTTATGAAATAAAAGAGAAAGAAAGAGAAAGAGTTATTAAATCGTTCCCTTGCCGAGATATTGTTGCTTGTTGGTTATCTCCCTTGCCGGGATTTAATTGTTTAATTGTGTTCCCTTGCCGGGATTTCTATCATTATTTTATTTATTTCCCTTGCCCTTGTTTGTGATTGTTGTTTAGGTGAGGAAGAGTGTTAAAGCACGAAGGGTGATGTCGTGCATTGTTTGCTATTGTGAGGAAAGAGTGTAAAGCACGAAGGGTGATGCCGTGCCGCACGATGTACCGTTCCGTGCCAATTCTATTGATTATATGTGAGGAAAGAGAGTAAAATCATGAAGGGTGATGCCGTGCACATTTCATTATCCTAATTGCTTTGGTGAGGAAAGAGAGTAAAAGCACGAAGGGTGATGCCGTGCACATTTTATTATTTTAATTGCTTTGGTGAGGAAAGAGAGTAAAAGCATGAAGGGTGATGCCGTGCACTTATTTGATCTCTGATTCTTGTTGACATTTTAGCTATGTTGTTCCTTTCCTTACTTGATGCTTTATTCGGAACTGTTATTTCCCCGCAACATGTTCCCCCCTCCCATCTTTACTTGTTTATTTCTGCTTCACTTTCCGCTGTATATTATATAACTGCACAGGTTTATTTGGTAGTCTGGTCCTAGCCTCGTCACTACTTCGCCGAGGTTAGGCTAGACACTTACCAGCACATGGGGTCGGTTGTGCTGATACTACACTCTGCACTGTGTGCAGATCCAGGAGCAGCTTTCGGACAGTAGTAGGGGGGCTTCCTTCAGTCCACCCGGAGACCCAAGGTAGACCTGCAGGCGTCCGGAGGCCCTGGCGTGTCCCTCTATCTCTATTCCCTGTTTCATTTTCTTTGTTCAGAAACAGTTTAATGTATTTTCTTTATACCTTGTATGTAGCGACTCTTAGACAGTCTGTGACACTTTGACACCAGGTTTTGGGGTATTTGAGGTTTTGAAAGCTGTAATAGACGTAGTCTTAAGATATATTATTGTTGACTTCCGCTTATTTATTTGAAATTCCGCTGTTATCATATTATCGTCTGGTATTTCGTTAAAGAGAAGAAATATGAACGTGTAGTAATTATGTAAGGTTGGCTTGCCTAGCTCCCATTAGTAGGCGCCATCACGACTCCCGAGGGTGAAAAATCCGGGTCGTGACAGTTCCACGGTCTTCTACTGTGTTACCCAAATAATACCCGGAAATAGTAATTTCGTGTGGGCGAAATTTTCTAGGAAAATAGGGCTGAAATTCGGCCACCATGACTACTCCCTCTAGGTGAAAATCCTTATGTATTTATAGCACAAGTTTTAAGGGTTAAAACCCTTTTTCAAAACCTGTTAGGTTTTCCTTTCCACCAGAAAAGGATTCCTTTATATCCTATTATTTAGGCACAGCAGGGACCACATAATTTAATTAACAAGGCTCCAATTATGGAATTAATTTTTAATTTTCGAAATTAATATATACCATAATTAATTACGAATTATTCCACTAAAAATTCGTAATTGCACTCCTTATTCAATTTCAAAATTCATCCATTAAATCTTATTTAACTCCCCATATTAAGATTCAAATACTAATCAATTAAATTAAATTACTGACGATTTAATTTGTTGATTATTTCCTTTAGACTTTCGCTTAACTTATTTCATGTGTCGGATAAAAAATCCACCGGCCGGGTTTACACATGAAAACTTATAAGCTTTCATAAAGGTGTATCATCAATCTCTAAACCGAGACATTGATTCCATCAACTAACTATTACTTCGCCAATGTACATTATTATTATCGAATTTACCAGGCATATTGACCCACGAAAGAATCTCGCCTTTTAATAAATCAAAACAATAATAATATACACAACTAATAATAATTATATCAAGATTAAGAGTATAAGTACATTTAATGGCGAGAGTTTATTTTATTAACTCAGTATAAAATACTTATCTCTACTTGGTCCGTTCAATACATACAAAATGTACTAGCACAAGAAGTTGGAATTAAACCATTCCCAAAATCAAGATAAATTATATTTAATCTTGTGCTACAATCATTCCTGATGGTTTGTCCAATTCCATCATTAGATTGTGAACTCAAGCTTTATACTTATATGAATCGATGATTTAATCTTCCGTGTATAAGCTAAACTCTATACACTAAATTATCTACTATATAAGCAAAGGACACCGACTAATATATGATCTATTAAAACTTTATTAAAATTGAATTAACAATATTATCACAATAAATACTATATCTAAACTAAATCCATGGTTAATAGTATATATCCCACCATCCAAATGTTAACCGGTAAGGTAACTCAGCCTTGTATTTTTTGGATCAAATCCGGTGATAATTCTCCACTCGTGTCCTTAAAGAGCTAGGTAATTGATCTTCAAAGGCATTTCCTCGATCCATATGTCCCTAGCACAAGAGGTTGTTTGGACCGGCTTATAAGCACCTTTTGACTTATCGCGTTTGGTAAATACCCAAAGTGCTTATAAGCTAAAATCAGCTATAAGTCATAAGTTGGTCACGCCCAACTTAGAGTCCGTTTGGATTAGTTGATTGTAAATAGCTGATAAGCTTGAGTGTTGAAAAGCTTTTTTAAGTGCTGAAACTAATTTTGAAAATAAGCATTTACGTGTTTGGATAGAAGTGCTGAAATTGATAATAAGCAGTTGATGTATTTGATTAAAAAGTGCTGATAAGCTATTCTTTTGTTAAAATGACTAAAATACCCTAAAATGTTTTTCAAAAAATTATAAATTTAAAATTTCTTTGTAAAGAAAAGAATTAACAACGAATATGGAATGGAGTGAAAGTCAAAATATTTATTTAGGGAAAAGTATTTTGTGAATTAGAAAATATTATTAAGGATAAACTAGTAAAAGTGTTGATCAAACTAAAAGTGCTTATAGGCTGAAAAGTCATAAGTTGGGGGTGACCAGCTTCTGACTTATGGCTGATTTTAGCTTATAAGCACTTGGCTTATAAGAACTTTGGGTGTTTATCAAACGCGTAGATAAGCCAAAAGGTGCTTATAAGCCAGTTTGACCAGCTTATAAGCTTAGCCAAACACCCTCTTAGAACCGTTTGGATTAGCTGATGGTAAATAGCTGATAATCTTGAAGTGCTGAAACTGATTTTTTAAATAAGTATTTACGTGTTTGGATAGACGTGCTAAAACTGATAATAAGCAGTTGATGTGCTTGACAGAGAAGTGCTGATAAGTTATTCTTTTGTTAAAATGACTAAAATATCCTTAAAAACTTTAGAAAAGATTATAAATTAAAAAGTTTCGTTGTAAAGAAAATGATGAACAAGTTAAAAAATTTATTTGGGGAAAAATATTTTGTGAATTAAAAAATATTATTAAGGATAAATTAGTAAAAACTTTGGTCAAACTAAAACTGCTTTTAAGCTGAAAAGCAAGCTTTTTCTGTTACCGAGTATTCAGAAGCTATTTGTGTCCCACATCCTCAATTTGTTCTTGAGACGCTTCACTTTGACAGAAAAAAGCATAGTTCGGACGGCCCTGGATAATGAAATTATCCCACTAACCAGCCACTAAATCAATAAAACCATCAAATTCCAGCACATGTTCTCAAATTTAAAGTACGAATTTGTTTGTTGCAACTTTTCACATCTTAGAAACGATGGAGCATGGTCTGAAATAGGCCTTGGCAGCATAGGTGTCCAACAAAACTAAATTTTCATCCCATTTTACGGGAAAAAAAAAACAAAGAACATGCTGATTCTGGAAGCTGCTGATACTGTATCACCTTTGAACCAAGTAAAAGAACAAACATGAATTTTTTTTTTTGGGAGGGGGGGGGGGGGGGGTCAATTAGTTCTAGCTCCTCAATAAAGCAGGATAAATCTTACATGCTGCAAGTGAGCCTCTGAGAGTGTTCTTTCATTCGTGTAGTGAGTAACATTGAAATCTCCACAGACAAGAAAAGAAGTTACAACTTGTGCAGCAGATCTGAATTTTGTGAAGGGAAAGCAGAATCAGTCGGTCACATTCTTTTACATTGTAGATACAAATGGCGGGGTTGGTGCATATTCCTAAACCACTATGCATATATAAAGGACACTTTAGCTTGAAAGAACTCATAGATTTTTTTGAAAATGGTAACAGTATATTCATCAGCATTAAGGAAACTGAGCAAAGTCTTGTTCATCTCAAGAAAATCTGCCACAATTGACCGGACCAGACCTGCTTTATCCTCCAACTCTAAGTCACTAACAATTATCATCAAACAATCTAAGTTACTAACAATTTTCACCTAGGCTGTGTATTTCTCTTTATTATAACATTCTTGCTATTCAATTTCATTAATGCAGTACATAGATAACACACAGCACACAACTAAAATGGCATGCTAGAAAGAGATAGAATGTTCGAAGGGAATCAAATTGAAGAGTTAACATTTGCAAGCTGAATACCATAAGAGTCAATCATCTAAAGAAAGCACACATCATTCATATAAAGATTACAACAACAACCCAGTAGAATCCCACTAGTGAGGTCTGGGGAGGGTAGAATGTACGCAGACCTTACCCCTACCCCGAAAGGATAGATAGGCTATTTTCGGGAGACCCTCTAACCACAACAGAAACCAGAAAAATAGATGAAGATTACAATGAAGGAAAATAAATAGACGAACTAACTTCAAATTGATAACTTGAATCTATAAAGAGACATTAACTCATGACTGCAATCACATTATCAAAATGAAGGTGTGACCCAAGTAGGCGGGGAAATAGGACTCAGTGACAATCCGGGATAAAAAGATTCAATTTTTCCATCTTCAATATTGTAAGCCCCCATATCTCTTCCACCACCACCTTCCACGTTTTTAAATTCCTCTTCCCAATCATCCGTAAAATATATGTGATTAGGCTTGACTCCTATAAATTTGGAAGAGTCAACAGAACTTACACCATTAAGGCCCATAAAAATTGCTGAATCTCCCAAGGTGTTAATCTCTTTCAATTCGAGCTTGATTATATCTAACTCAAATACTTTAAATTTAAAGGTCTGACACCCTCCATGAGAAAATCGGGTAACAATTAATAGTGCACCCGATAACTCGACTAGGTAGAACTTAACTGCACTTTGACTAAAGATTTTATCTTTCAGCCAAATAAGCAAGCGTGGTTTTACAATTGGTTTGGTAATGCTAGGCCCTGCAACATCAAAAACCCAGACTTGGCCAGACCATGTGATACAATAAAATTGACCCTTGTAATAATTCATAGTCGCGACTGAACCATGGGTGTTAATGTCAATATTAGTCCAATTGAGATCTCCAGGTCGCCAAAAAGCCAAACTATTAATATGTCCATAATAATTAAGCACCAGTACATAATCTGATGTAAGAGAAGGACTGGCCGATAAGATAGCTTTGTCCATGCAGCTCCAATCGTCTTCTACAGGTGCTTCTCTGAGAAGCTCTGCAGTCAATAAGTCTTCTCGTGGGGGAAGCTGTATATTGATATGAGAGAAAGGGTGCAACAAGTTCATCTCTCCGGTATATGACATGGTGAACAGCCATCCCTCTGATGGAAAACACTCTCGCCCTCTAATTTCTGGGAGAAATATGCGTGAAACTTTCTTCTTCAAACGAGAGTAAAATTCTCGATAATCGTCATCTTTATCCGCCAACGTAAGTAATGGAACTTGGGGCGAAAACAATTTCTTTGTAGCAACAGAACTTCTCCATGAGGTACAGACAGCACCAAAAGCAATAAAATCTTCAATCGCTATGACACGCTTTGTAATCTGAGTGAGGAGATCCTGCGGCAACTCTGCCCAATTCGCCATAGCTTTGAAAGGAATAGGACCATAGCTTTGAAAGGAATAGGATGTAAGGTTTCTAGGTAAGAGAGAAAGAACCACTGTTTAGGGTTTTGGTTTACGGTTTTTTACGGTTTTTTATGTGGATGTGGTAAGTATTACGGACTTTGACAAGAATTTGGAATATCAATGCCCAACCTTTTCTATTATTTTCGGAATAAGCAAATATTTATGGTAGTGACTGCCATTCCTTTCCCAGCCCAATTTTTCACCAAATTGTGGTAGGATTTGGAGAAGGTAGACACCAGACGCCAAAAGGGGAAGTAAGACAGCAATTAAAAGGTCCATATAAAATCCTCCTCCCATAGAAACTCTTTTTTTTGGGTCTGTTTCAGGAATTATTTTTAAAGAATATTTAGAAACTTTTATTAAATTTTAATATTTTAAATTAAATTTTACAAGTAGTTTATCAAACCAATATTTATGTAGGCGTGGTAAGTATTGTCACACCTCCTTTTTATCCGATAGTGATATAAGGAAGTTTTTCTAATTAACGTGACATTAATCGAAATGAGATTGTTTATTTATTTCAGAGCCGCCACTTGGGATAATTTATATGGTGTCCCAAGTCACCGGTTTATTTTAAATCCCAAATCGAGGAAAATTTGACTTCATTTAAAAGTCTGCGAAACAAGAAAAACTAGGTTAGGAATTCTGTTAACCCGGGAGAAGGTGTTAGGCATTTCTGGGTTCCGTGATTTAGCACGGCCGTGTAGCAATTTATACATGGCTTATTTTGGCTAATTACTCATTTTAGGACCTATGTTTATTTTACCTTTTACCGCTATTAATCACTTGATAATCCGTATTTAAAGAATTAAATTAAGATAAGTTACGCGTACGTATACTCGTTTAGTTTTAGCGTGTCAAAAATCATGGCACGCGTACGTGTACACAATTCGCAACACTTAGTTTATTTAAGAAAAAGTTTGTCAAAGTCGTGCGAACGAGTACTTTGGATTTATTTGAAAAAATCATAATCACGTCACGCGAACATGTACGCAATCATGATAGTAATTTTAAAAAAAAACCGCGCCTAAAGCATTTCTACGAGTGTTCATTTTAAATCTTACTCGTGTCACGCGAACGTATACACAAATAAAAATGTTTTATTATTATTAAGATTGTTTCGCCCGAAGTTGCGCGAACGCATACTTTGATACAACTGTTTCCTATGCCTAACTTACGTAGTATTCTCCATATTAATTATTCTGTGCCTAACCTGATAAGGAATGACCAAAAATGAATCAAATAATATTAATAAAAAAAAGTCTTTCAAGCTGCTATCTATCAGCTAATCATCTCTCACATCTTAATTAAGTTATTCAATCGTTTATTAGTACAACTCATTTTGGTTTTCCTCTCAAATGTTCTTGATGAGAAACAATCTTTTTGATATACGTATTTCTCATTAGTTTTATAGTAATTAAGTGTTTTATCACAAAACAACAACAACAACAACTCAGTATAATCCCACAAGTAGGGTCTGGGGAGGGTAGTGTGTACGCAGACTTTACCCCTAACACTAGGGTAGAGAGGCTGTTTCCAATAAACCCTCGGCATACTTCCCTCCAAAAACTCTCCACCTTACTCTTGAGGTGACTCGAACTCACAATCTCTTGGTTGGAAGTGAAAGATGCTTACTTGTATAGGGTCAAATTTGACCCTCAGTATCTCTACGCCAGTGGGTACGCCCAATGAGTGTACGCCGACCAACGTAGCGGGTACAACTCGGCCGTGAGGACCAAAGCGGCGTCGTTTAGAACTCAGCATCTATACTAGGGAGACGTTACCTATCTCTGTAACTTTTTGATTCTTTCGGGGAAGGTCTCCTATTATATAAAGGAGACCTCCACATTGTAAAAAGGGGATCTGATCGAATACAACTCTCTCATTTTCTGTCTTTCTCTCTCTATATCACTACTTCTGACGAAAATATCTTATTAACATACATTGTCACTTTGCAATACTAGATCTACAATAATATTATCATCTTTGCATCTCTAGGCTTATTATATTTGATTACGATTTACCCCTTCTCTATTTTTTGATTGTTTTATCGCTTACAAAGTACATCGTTAACTTTTGAGCCAAACAATTTGGCGCCGTCTGTGGGAATTTCGAGAATCAAAACCATAGTATCCACCTAGAGATCAACCAACTAACACTCTCTACACCACTCAAATACAGAAAATGGCCGAAAATAACACAAGATCGAAAGCCATATTGGGTGTCACTACCAATCTCCTGGGCCCTCTCAACGAGGCCGGTGATGATGGCATCCTGAATGAAACCCCTAGCATCACACCAGGTGCAGAGATCTCACCTTCCCCATCCGAAGGTCTGACGATCTTACACGAAAAAAGAGCATCCACATCTACAGCCACGGAAGCATCCCCAGCGGTCAAGAGCTACTGGAAAGATGGCTAACAAGCACTCTAAGTGGCTTGGTTGAGAGGCCACCGCAAAATAACATCGTCTGTACACCAACGGTAGGCACCACTACTGCAGTGGGTGAACCAGAAGTTACACTGGTAAGTAACAGACCCATCGAGACACAGACCAACGATGGCACACTAATAGCCATCCTAAAGAAGATGGAAGAAATGGAAAATGAAAACAAGGCTCTCCGCGGTCAGATGAAGGAACATCAGGAGAGGGTCGACAAGATCCCCGGTGCTCCCAAGTTGCTACCAAAACGCGACGTGGGAAGGTTCGTTGAACAACCATACGCCGAAGAAGCTTCTCCTCACTCCACCCCAAAAACCTTCAAAATGCCACCCTACTTAAGGGTATATGACGGAACCACGGATCCCGAGGATCATCTGATCCACTACGTCACCGCTGTGAAGGGTAACAACCTATGAAAAGAACAGGTACCGTCGGTACTGCTGAAGAAGTTTGGTGAGACGCTGACAGGAGGGGCCTTAACATGGTACTCTCAGCTACCGGCTAAAGCAATATCAACGTTCGAGGAAATGGCGGATAAATTCGTCACAGCCCATGCGGGCGCGAAGAAAGCAGAGGCCAGGGTCAATGACATCTTCGCCATCAGGCAAAACGCAGGAGAGAGACTCAGGGACTTCCTGGCAAGGTTTAACAGGGTAAGAATGAGCCTACCAAACGTATCGGAAGGTATGGCGGTCGCCGCTTTCCAGAACGGGCTAAGCAGAGATGGTTCGAGGGCAACCAAGAAGCTGCTAAGCCGCCTCATGAAATATCCCCCTACCACATGGGAGGAAATCCACAACGCCTATTGCGCCGAGGTACGAGCGGACGAGGATGATCTAAATGGGCCGACCCAACGGCTAACAGCGATACACTCAGAAACAAGGAGAGATCGACGGAACGAAGGACGACGAGAACAACTCCCCCGTTCCAACAGAGATCGACACCAACCGTACACCAGATCCTCCCATCCACCATCAAGGCATACAGACGCACTACAGCGACACGTCGCCCCACTGCGGAACGAAAGAGGTACGCCCCCTTTATTAACCGCCCATAACTTTTGTGTGTCTCCTTCAGAGATAGTGTAGGCACTGGAGAAGCTAGGCACCAAGGTGCGCTGGCCGCAGAAGATGAAATCAGACCCTGCCACAAGGAAATCAAATGCCCTGTGTGAGTTCCATCAGGAACGAGGACACAAAACCGAAGACTGCATAGGCCTACGGCAAGAGGTGGTCAGGATGCTGAACCAGGGATACCTGAGGGAGCTACTCAGTGACAAAGGAAAAATTAACTTTGCACGCGGACGGGAACAGCCCCACGGGCCGCCGAAGCCGCCTTCCCCAGCTCACACGATAAACATGATCGTCGGAGGCGGCGACGAGTCAGCGATCAATCATGTCAAACTCGCCACCACACACAGACTAAAGCGGACCATCGCCTATGAACAGTATGAGGACTTCGAAGATAGTATCACCTTCGATAAGTCTGATGCCGACGGTTTGTCTTTCCCTCATTATGATGCTTTAGTTATCACTTTACGTATAGCTGATACAGATGTTAAAAGAGTCATGATCGATGACGGAAGTGGCGCCTGTATTATCCACCCAAGGGTCCTCATACAAATGGGACTCGAGGATAAGGTAATACCGCGCTGCATAACACTAATCGGTTTTAACAATGCAGTAGAACGGACGTCCGGAGAAATAGCACTGCCCGTCTTAGCAGGAGGAGTCACGCTGGAAACAACTTTCCACGTGATGAACCAAGAAACGGCGTACAACGTCATCATAGGACGCCCGTGGATACACGCCATGCGAGCGGTCCCTTCAAGCCTCTACCAAGTGATCAAATTCCCTACCCCATGGGGAGTATTCAGTATTCGAGGCGAGCCACGCACCGCACAAGAATGCTACAAAATAGCCCAAGACTGCGCCCACACCCAACAGCTAAAGGGGGCGAGCGCAGAGGCATAGCAATTAGCCGTGTCGGGGACTAAGGTCAACCCGACAACGGACGCCATCAAAGACCCCGACGTCGTGGAGGCCTGTAAAGCAACGGTCGAAGATCTCGACCCAGTCCAATTGGATGAAACCAATCTTACGAAGAAAGCCTATATCGGGCACGGTCTCGCCAACCCAAGTAAGTATTGTGAATTCTTAACTAACCATGCGGATTTGTTTGCCTTTTCCCATTCAGATATGCCGGGAATCCCGCGAGACATCGCTACCCACAAGCTGAATGTTGATCCACTACATCCGCCCGTGCGACAGATGAGGAGAAAATTCAACGCCGCTATCAATGAAGCGGTCAGTAAGGAAGTAGACGAGTTACTGGCCAACGGCTCCATCAGAGAATCAAAGTACCCCGAGTGGGTCGCCAATGTCGTCATGGTCAAAAAGAAAAACGGGAAGTGGAGAATGTGTGTGGATTTCACTGATCTGAACAAAGCATGCCCAAAGGATTCATTCCCACTACCCCACATCGACCAACTGATCGACGCCACTGCAGGACATGAACTATTGAGCTTCCTAGACGCCTACTCCGGCTACAATCAAATCATGATGGCCGAGGAGGACCAAGAGAAGACAACTTTCATCACCCACCAAGGGACTTACTGCTACAAGGTAATGCCCTTCGGGCTCAAAAATGCAGGGGCTACGTACCAGAGGCTGGTCACCAAAATGTTCAAAGAGCAGCTCGGTAAGACTATGGAAGTCTATATCGACGACATGCTGGTAAAGTCGGCAAGAAAAGAGGACCACATCGACCATCTGAAAGAAACCT